GAGTCGATAGCGTCGATATAGAGTCGATAGGGAAGCTGTCCAGGCACTCGAGTCCTGACAGAGAGGGGTTCAGCAGACGACTGCTGGGCGCGTTTAGAGTGGAACTTGTTGATTGCTCATTCATGCCGATTCGGCTACATTTTATACTCCTTTAGCTAGGCCAGCTTTCTGAGTCATATTAGTAATCCTAGCAGTGCTGAGTCAGCTTCTGACTCAGCCGAGTCATGATTTGTCATGTGCTGACTAAGATTGGGCACCGCTTAGTAATCCCTTTCCTAATATGGTCAAACTTTCCTGGGCCCATTTAAGGTACATGCTTGGTCTATTCTACTTAGATTCTATACTACTACATAACAGAGAGGCTGCAGAATGAATAAAAAAATGGAGGTTTTCGAGCAGTTCCGCACCTATTCATTTTAGGGGCGGGACAACGCTCAAGGAATACACGCGGAATCCGACAAACTGGAACAGATCCGCGAGTGGAGAACGCCACGAAGCTACACGGAAGTAGCCCGATTCCTCGGGCTCGTACAATACTTAGCTCAGTTCATGCCGAATGTGGCCACCTACATGGCCCCACTCTCAGACATATGCAGTGAAGGGACACCATTCCATTGGCGGCCCATACACGAGAAGTGCTTCCGGACAATCAAGGACTTGGCGTGTCGAGCGCCCATTCTGAAACCAGTTAACTTCGGTGATCCCGATCCGATCTGGGTCGTATGTGACGCATCGAAGACCGGAGTTGGGGCTTATTACGGTCAGGGCCGAGACTGGCGAGTGTGCCGGCCGGCCGGATTCATGTCTAGAAAGTTCACAAATGCACAACGAGGCTATGCTACGTATGAACATGAGACGCTAGCCATATTAGAAGCCCTCCTGAAGTGGGAGGACAAGCTTATGGGCCGAAAAATTAATATAGTTACTGACCATAGGACTCTCGAGTTCTTCAAGTCACAAAAAGATATGTCTTACCGCCAGCGGCGTTGGGCCGAATACATTAGTAGATTCGATCACTCCATTACATATGTCAAGGGCGAGTATAACCTCATCGCAGACGCGCTATCACGATACTACAAGTACGATAGACCGGGCGAGACTCACCCGGATTACCGGTACGTGAATGCCGACGTGCGCATTGACCCGGCCGGGATGACCTTCCCGCATTGCGGAACGAGGAGATAGTACGTATGGCGGCCATGAGGCTACCCGAAGCAGTGGAGAGCCGAGACCTCGAGGCCGAGATGCTCGCGCCGACAGGTTCGTCAGAGTCTGAAACGACACCGCTTGATGATGCGCCTACTGTGGGCGCGTCGGCAGCTCAAGGGCCGATCAGTCCCCAGACGTTCGGCCAATACGCCGAATATCTGGCCGCTGTAAAACAGAGCTACGCTACGGACTCGCTATTTTCCAAGGTCGTAGCGGCTCCTAAAGAGCACCCGCAATTCGAATTACGGGAAGGGATGGTATACACCAAGAACCGCCTTGGTAACGAGGTGATTTGCGTGCCCTCCGGAAAGCTCGGAGCGCGTGCGTTGAGAGAGCTTGTGATTGATGGTGCGCACCGGGCGATCGGTCACCTCGGCGCTAACAAGACCTCGGAGTATTTGCGTCGCTACTATTGGTGGCCAAAGATTGCCGCAGATGTCGACCTTTTTTGCAAATCATGTCATCTCTGTCAGACGGCAAAGGACGTGAACCAGAAGCCCGAAGGATTGTTACACAGCCTACCGATACCGAACCGCCCTTGGGGCTCGATAGCGATGGATTTTCTGGGCCCGTTCCCGAAGTCCCGAGGATACGACTACCTATGGGTAATAATATGCAGACTGACGGGAATGGTACATCTTGTACCCTGTAATACTAAGACAACTGCGAGCGAACTCGCATACTCATTTCTCAAAGAGGTTGTGCGATTGCACGGGGTTCCTGATAGCATCGTGTCTGATCGAGATTCGAAGTTTAATTCTAAGTTTTGGCGGGAACTTCACCGTCTGATGGGGACACGCCTGCTGATGTCCACAGCCTTCCATCCCCA